CATAATGTCAGAACCAGCAGGACTTAAATGAGGTATCATAGATTGCAACTGATAGTCTTGAACTTTATCAAAGACCTGTGATCCTGGAGCCCTGGTGGCACAGTGGTTAAGAGTTAAGCTTCTAAGCAAAAGGTCAGCAGTTCAAATCTACCAGCAACTCCTTGGAAGCCCTCTGGGGCAGTTCTACATTGGCCTATAGGGTCTCTGAGTCAGAATCAATGGTAATAGGTTTGGTTTTGGGGTTTTTTGTTCGTTTGCTTTATTTTGTTTTAGGATCCTGGAAAATAGCATATGTTAAAGACATCCTCCACCCCTTTTTGCTCCAGAAAGGGTTTACTGCAAGAAACCATCCTTCTTCATATGACTTAGACCAATCTCACAGATGCCCTTCTTTACTCATGACAAGGCCAGACCCTAAGATAGCTGAAGTACTTGTCCCCAGTGGTCAATCAGAACAAAATACTTATTAACCAAACTTTGGTTAGATTTCTCTCCTTGCCCTAACCCCTGAACTTTGACCCACCCTAAGCCTGAAGCAGCTCACGAGGCCTCCTTAAAGGCCCCTACAGAGAATAGGTTGGCTTTAAGGTAAAAACCGTCTCTAATCTATCTGATCACACCACCCTTTCAACTCCCTTCCCCACCATCAATTCTTTCTACCCTTACTTACTCCTTGATAGCAATTAACAACATACAAGAGAAATTCTTTTTGCCTAATCCTTAAGAAGCTTGCAAAGCCTATGGTTGGAGCAAGCTTCCTGTTACAATAATTCTTCCCCCTCCCTCCTTGCAATGATCCTTTTGAATAAAGTCTCTACCTACCAAGTTGGAGCTCTGGTGGGGCAGTGGTTAAGAGCTATGGCTGCTAACTAAAAGGTTAGCAGTTCAAATTCACCAGCTGCCCCTTAGAAGCCCTATGGGGCAGTTCTATTCTGTCCTTATAGGGTCACTATGAGTCACATTAGACTCCACAGCAACAGGTTACTTACCTAGTTGGATTTGTTTTTTATTTAGCACAACTCCTGGACTATTTTGTCTTCCCTGTACAACATGTGTTTCATTAAATTCATGTAGGTGTAGAATGAACACTCCTGTCTGGGTCAATCCTCACTAGTCTTCAGTGTTCTATAGAGGCCAGCTCCACCTATGTATCGTTAACATGTTTAAATTAGTTGCTTGGTCCCTTAGACCACTGATTTACATTTTATAAACCAAAAATAGGTTACACTTGCGGGGCAAATGGTTATGTGTTATTGACTTCATACTGTTATTTTATGAATTAAATTTGTCCTGAATTGGAAAGTAATCAGACCAAAACAGGTCCTGTGTTCCATGACCATGTGTCCTTATTCACAGAATGCTCACAGACATTTGTAGAGATAGGTTCCCTTTTCAGGATAAAATCTCATGGGGCGGCTGAAATTAAGTGTGAGAAATTTTAACACTTAAAATGATTGCATATTAATTTAACTCCTACAGCTATAGCTCTCAACTGGTGGCTTTCAACTTTACCCATAACATGTATCAGTTTTGAAATTTAATTTTTAATTAAATGAAATTACATAGAATTTAAAAATTTTGTTTTTCACTAGCATGAGCTATACTTCAAGTGCTCAATAGCCACATGGCAACTGTATTGGATGGCACAGCTCCACTCTACAAATTTGAATACACAAATGATGAATCATTCCTACTTTAATTTGTATTTCCAGTGACTAGGCTATTTTAAAAATGTTAAAAAGCAAATCATAAAATAATATAGAGTATGATTCTATTTATGTGGAGAAAAAAGCAAATTTAAATAATGTACTATTCATGGGTCTATATTTAGAAAGTAAAACTATAAAGAAAAATTATTAACTTTTCAATGATTAACACAAAATGTAGGATAGTGGTTGATCTGTGGGAATGTGTGTGTGGAGGGAGATAGAATTGGGGAGGTTGATACAGGACTCGCTAAGATACTAATGACATTCTAGTTCTTAAGCTGGGTTTTGAGTAGCAAGTATTGGTCTTATAATTTTTGTTTATGTTGCATAAGCCCATTTCATGACTGAGGCATTTTACTAAAAGTTTTTTGAAATCTCTTTAACCAGAAATAGGGCTCCTGGGTGCTGCAAACAGTTCACTGCTCAGCTGCTAACCAAAAGTTGGCAGTTAAGAGTCCACCCAGAGGTACTTCAGAAGAAAGACTTGGCGATCTACTTCCGAAAAATTGGCCATTGAAAGCTCTATGTAGCACAATTTTACTCTGACATACAAGGGGTAGCTATGAGTCAGAACAGATTGCAAGGTAACTGGTTTAACCAGAAATAAGGAATCTCAAATCTCTTTAATCAAAGATAAGGAATCTCAGGTCCAGTGAGTGCTTCTTGGTATTTTTTAAACTTCCTATATCTTTTCCTTCTTTACATACCGTATCTCCATTTTTGTCCCAGTAGATATAAAAAGGCAAGAATTTGAAAGTGTTTAGCAGCAATTTAAAACATCATGAACAGCAGCATTACTTCATTATAACAGATCATTGAGTCTCAATCCTCCTATTTTATCAGCTGAACATCTGATATATGTAGTTATTGTTAAATGCCTCCATCTGTCTTTATTTTTCTGTGCCTTCTTGCAGTTGCAAATTGTATTATTGGATCCCTCTCTCTATGGTTTCCTTTGCGTATGTACATTTTGTGTTTTTCCAAGATATGGTCTCTTCCTCTTTAGGTGAATTTCTCTTTTTATTTTGACCCTACTCTTCCCCCTCTGCCTCTCCTTCCATTGTGTCTATTTTTTTTTCCCTCTCCGTCTGCTGCTTTCTCTTGATCCAGTTTTAATTTTCTTTCTTACTTGTCTTTCTCTTCTTTCCCCATTGACTAGGTAGTCTGTAGAATCAAGGCTTTTTATTTTAAATGAGCTCTCTTAGACATGAAAGAAATGCTCTATTTCCCTTGCTTTTAAAATTAAGAGGGGGCAGTGAAACTATTCTGTGTGATACTGTAATGATGGATACATGACACTATATTTGTCAAAACCCACAGGACTGAACAACACAAAGAGTGAACCCTAAGGTGAACTGTGGACTTTAGTTAATAACAATGTATCTATATCAGTTCCTCAATTGTAACAAATGTAAGACATTAATATGAGCAGAAACTGTATAGGGAGGGGAGATAAGGTATGTGAGAACTCTCTATACTTTCTGCACAATATTTCTGTAAACCTAAAACTGTCATAAAAAAGAAGGCCTATTTAAAAAAAAATTAGAAGAAACAGCATGAACAACAACAAGTATTTCTCTCTTTATGCTAAAACAGCCCAGCCTAGCAATTGGAGTCTTCTAGTGAAGGGCCCAGTCTCTGGATCCAGATCTGGCTAATCACCATTCTGGCTCCCCCACTTACAAACTGAGATCCTTGGGAGGTTGACTTGCCTTTGGTGCTCTGATTTCCTTTTCTGTAAAATGGAGGGGGAAAAAACCCAAATAATAGCCATCACGTAGAGTTTTTAGGATTGAATGAATACATACAAGATACATTAGCTATTATTCTGAACTTGGCTAAATTGTGAATAAAGGAGCTATAAAGAGGTTGAATAGTTCCTCAGCGATTTCCTCCTCATCACTGAAGTCAGATAAATAACAACGCTGTGATACAAAGATGAGACATAATGTAGACCGGAGTGCGGTCTTGATGGATGCTAACCTGCCACTGTTGAAACCTCAGTGGAAAGATGCTGGGCTGGCATGGCGCCTTGCTGCCCTTGGACACAGGGGAGGGAGGGGCGACAGGCAGTTTAGAAAAAAGAGAGATGGGAATGGAAGAAAAAGCTAAAAGCCGGCTTCAGCAAAGATGATGATGATGATAATAATAAAGCCGTTAAATACTGAGCTCTACCATTATAGACTTATTAAGATATCTTTTCACCAGTTACATTGAAGAGATATTTCTGATCCTTATTCTGATTCGGAATCGACTCTACAGAAATGTGTTTGGTTTGGGTTTTTTCTGTGGCTAAACTGGGTGTGATTCGCTCCTTTCCAATACGAGGATTGTACCCTTATTGGCTAAGCAATTCTTCCCTTATCTCCCCTCAAGCGGTGTTATTTTGCTTTCTCTCTGAGGTTATTTTCCCCTGTCCTTTATTTTCCCCACGCTATATTTCTGCCCTCTGTACACACAGTCGGGGAGCCCTGGTGGCGCAGTGGTTAAGAGCTCACGCTGCCAACCAAAGGTCAGCAGTTCGAATTCACCAGCTGCTCCTTGGAAACCCTACTCTGTCCTATACGGTCACTACTAGTCAGAATCGAATCCACGGCAACGGGTTTTAGTACAGTGGTAAACTGTCCTCAGAATTGTCTGGATGACCGCGGGTCACCTATCTCATCTCAGTTCTTCCTTTCTCTCTCATTGGTTTAGAATCTTAATTGAAATATAAAGATCTTGCTTTCCAGGAGCTGGAAACCGGCCTTATGATGCAGAGACATAACTATGTCACGAGCTTTGCCTCCTTGGCATTTATAAACACAGGTAAGAGCAACTTCTAGATTTTAAAATTAATAAACATCTAAATTGTCTGGAAGCGAAAGAACCTACTCACTGCCATCGAATCATATTCAGACTCACAGCAACCTACAGGGTCTGTATATCTGGGTATAACTGCCCCACAAGGATTTCCAAGGCTGTAATCTTTACGGAAGCCAACTACCACATTCCTCGTTGAGTCTGGTGTGTTTGAACCGCAGATCTGTAGACTGTCAGCCGAGCGCTTTAACCAATGAGCCACCAGGAATTCTCGCGAGCAATAGAAACTTGTATAAAAAGTGTTACCTAGGTTAAAGAAGCTGGTCTGATTGGTGGAAATCGGATCTCAATATCTGGCCAATGGGAGAGTAGATCCAATATCCTTCATTTGCGTACAGCCCTAAGGCAAATAAGCGAATCAGCGGTTGTGAAACTAAGTCCTCATTTGCATCACAGCGTCTACAAATAAGTAGGATCGTTATTCGCGGACTTCGTTTTCTTTTCTCTTCAAAACGATCTGACAGTCATTAATATGCCTGAACCAGCCAAATCCGCGCCGGCCCCGAAGAAGGGTTCCAAGAAGGCCGTGACAAAGGCGCAGAAGAAGGACGGCAAGAAGCGCAAGCGCAGCCGCAAGGAGAGCTACTCGGTCTACGTGTACAAGGTGCTGAAGCAGGTGCACCCCGACACGGGCATCTCGTCCAAGGCCATGGGCATCATGAACTCGTTTGTCAACGACATCTTCGAACGCATCGCGGGAGAGGCATCTCGCCTGGCGCATTACAACAAGCGCTCGACGATCACATCCAGGGAGATCCAGACGGCCGTGCGCCTACTGCTGCCCGGGGAGCTGGCCAAGCACGCCGTGTCTGAAGGCACCAAGGCGGTCACCAAATACACCAGCTCCAAGTGAGCAGCTTTCCTATTCAGCCATCAACCCAAAGGCTCTTTTCAGAGCCACTCAAGTTTTCACAATTGGAGCTCATACTCTTATTCTTTCTGGTGAGTCGGCATTCATTTAGCGTAACACTTCATGGAAACATTCCCAGTGCACTGCATGGTAGGATCGGGAATTCCTAGCTGTGGGAGGAGAACGTAAGCTGAAGCAAGTGGTAACTCGTTCAGGCCCTTGGAACTTGTTGCATCTGGAGTGCTCATCTTTATTTAATTTACACGTGCATTATGTGGGCTGGTCGTAGCCCTTTTTCATGCATGAAAGAGCTAAAAACGACCATACAATTATCCGTTTTGTATAAAGTAGTTTACAAGGCTACGGTAACATTTGAAAATCTCACTCTCGAAAAACGTAACAACGTTTCTTTGTGTGCTGCTGCAGGTCTTACCCCACGTTCTTTCATGTCTATTACCTTACCCTCCATCCCTCCAGCTTTTTGCCTAAAGGCGTTTAGAGTCCCGGGGAAGCCTTTAATCATCTAGTGTTACTTAAAAACATGGTGGGGTGGAGGGGGGCTGAGGCTCCCCAATAAGGGAACAATGTAATACTAACGTTTAATTTTGCTTTATATCTTCCTTGGAGTACTTCAAAAACGCAGTCTTTGGATTGTTTCTTGTTTGTTTTTAATGGATAAGAATAAAATCTGTTTCTCCACTCCGGTCCCTGTGCCCTTTCACAAACTGTTGTTAGTTGCCCCTGAGTTGATTCAGACTCCTGTCATCCCTTTACGTGCAGAGTAGAACGGCTCGATAGAGTTTTCAAAACTGTGACCTTTCTAGAAGTAGATTCCTGTGGCTGTCTTGTGAGCCTTTCTGGGTAGGTACCAAATGCCAACCTTTAAGCACATTAACCATTTGCTCCAACCAGGATCTCATAATCCTCAGTCTTTAACAACCTCCATCTTCTCACCAGTGTGGCCACAGAATGTAGAGATTGCCTCTGGCCTCCACTCCATCCTTTCTATCACTTGAGAATTCCCTTTGGACCCCATCCTTCCTGTCCTCTCTTCAGCTGTCCTCCCCAGTTCAGTTCGGAGAAAAGACAGAGGGACTCAGGACAGGTCAGGGAGCAGCGAGGAAGAGGAAACGTGTTGAGGTAGGAGATGCTTTTTTATATTCAAATGCTGAAGACTGAGGTCTAGAAATCAGTTTGTAATCATGAATTCCAAAGAGACAAAAACCCATGAAAATAAACAGTCTACCTTCTTTTCCTGCCTAATTTTCCAGTCACTGTAAGGTGAAGACTTTTTAAGGGAAGACAGGTGAGAAAGGCTTAACTGGGGGCAACTCACCAGTGAATGGAAATCCCAAATCTACCTAAACTCACTCATGGAAGGGTCCTTGAGAAGCACACCTAGGCAGCCTTCCCAGTGAGTTTGTCTGATCAGCCTTTCTCTCAACAAGGTAAAATAACCACAAAGACACAAACAGTATTTATTTTCAGGTTACCAAATTAACAATTGCACTTCCAACTTGGTCTGATCACTTAGATTTTAGCTTGAGATAATACTCCTTAATCATAGTGAATCCAGTTTCCATTCCAGAGCCACCTGATTGTGTGCTATCCCTGCTCAAAAACCTTCAATCATCTCCCACTGCTTTTAGCACAAAATTAGAACTCTGTACTATGGCCTGCAAGGTCTGGCCCTCATCTAAGTCTCCAACCCAATCTCAGTCTTTTTTTTTTTTTTTTCTATTCCCTCCTCCCAGTTTTTGAAGTTTCCCATGATCCCTCCAACATTTAACCAAAAAAAAAAAAAAGAAAAAAAAAAAAAGCTGGCCTCGAATTGATTCTGACACATGGCGACCCCTTGTGTGTCAGAGCAGAGCTGTGTTCCATAGGATTTTCAATGGCTGATTTTTTTTTTTTTAAGTAGATTGCCAGACCTTTCTTTTCAAGTGTCTCTTTGCCTGAAATGCCCCTGATTCTACATCCAGCCAGAAGACACGCATATACTTTATTAATTTATTGATCAACTGCGCCCATCTCGGCTCAATCATCTTGTCCTGGGAAGCTGATTTTTCACTGTTAAAGGCTCTCATAGCCCCAAGGAACTGACTGTACACTCTAAGGCACAACCTGATTGGTGTGGTGGAATCAAGACTCAACCCCTAAGGCTGGGGAGGAACTCTGGCTTCACTAAAGAACAAGGCAGGGAAGAAGGGAGATACCTGAACAAAATCAAGGCAGCATTGAAAAAGAAGGAGGGTAATGACCTTTGGGGAGGCATCTGCACTGCCTTATTAATACAAGAGCCTTCCAGGCAGACAGAGGTAGCACCCAATAGATTGCAAGATAGAGTAGCCATTCAGTCACATTCAAGTGTGAAGCACAAAATCACACACTGAGGATATAGGACAGTGGCTCTCAAGAGGGCATCAGAATCACCTGGAGGGCTTGTTAGAGCATAGATCGATGGTCCTATCCCCAGAATGTGTTTCATTAGGTCTGGAATGGGGTCCAAGAACTTACAATTCTAAAAAATTCCAGGGGTTACAGATGCTGCTGGTCTGCAAACCGTGCTGTGAGGACATCTAATAAAAAGAACGACGAGGTAACCAAAGCCCCTGCCTGTGTGGAGCTTTCTTTGTAGTAAAGATGAGGTTGTGATATAAGATTATGAAGGGTCTGGATGTCAAACAATGATGTTTAGATTTATTTTTTGCATACAATGAAAAGTTATAGAAAGTGTCTGAGCAGGGACTGGCGTGATTGGCTCTAGTTTTAGGAAGACGAAAGGAGATGGAATGGATTGGAGGGAATGGAAGGGAAGAAAGGTGATAAAGGTCCAAGCCAAGGAAATGGCAGCAGGAAGGGAGCAGTGGATACAAGACACAAACCAGAGAACAGTGGAAGGGATTCCATGCATTTGTGGAGCATATATTACTGTCATGTTATTTATCCTACATTGTCTCAGTCCGCACAAAAACATGAAGTTTCCCCTAAATTACAGGTAAGGGAAGAGTGGCTACAAAGTGTTCTCAGTAGCTTGTCATAGACCACAAACATACGTAATGGCAGTACTGGGACTTCAAGTGTAGATCTTCATGGTTCAAATACCATTCTCTTTTTCTCTGGGCCTTTCTAATGCTGTGAGGAATAATAATGATAGTAATAACAACAACCGAAACTTAGAGGGCTCACTACATGCCAGGCACTGGCCTAAATGCTGAACAAATGCTTGATTTCATTCACCCTAAAACCTAGGAAGTTGGTACCTACTATTATCTCTATTTTACAGATGAGGCGTAGAGAAGTTAAGTAACTTGAACAAAGACACACTGCAAGTAAGCATCCCTCTCTACAAGGTTTCTGGTGTCTTTTCATCTCTCAAGAAGGGTACTGGGAATGTTCCTTATAAACTTAATATATAATTTGCTTATGACACAGATTATCAAATATATAAAAACCAGTTTCTATGTAGTTATTTCTGACACATATCAATCCTGTGTGTGTCAGAGTAGAACTGTGCTCCATAGGGTTCTCAATGGCTGATTTTTCAGAACTAGATCGCCAGCCCTTTCTTCTGAGGTACCTCTGAGTGAACTTGAACTGTCAACTGTTCAGTTAGCAGCTGAGAGCATTAAACGTTTGTACCACTTGGGGAGTCCATTAAATATATAAGCCTTGTTAAATATATTTGCTGAGATTGTTAATGGCAAATGAGTTTAAAAGGCCTGAAGATAAAATTTATGGACCTCTTCCTTAATTGGGCTGATAATATATTCCCCAACAAGATACCAAGGTTTTTATTTACTCCTGAATCTTGTACAATTCAATCAGTTTGGGCCTTCAAGCCTTTGAAAATAAAAAATTTTCAGAATGGATTATTTTGTATTCTGAGTTACAAAATATTAAGATTTGATCTAACTTCTCAAGTATATACAGGTCCATAGCACACAGTGAATAAATGATGACAAAATAAGCTTGTTGTTGTTGTTGTTCTTAGGTGCCGTCGAGTCGGTTTTGGCTCATAGTAACCCCATATACAACAGAACGAAACACTGCCGGGTCGTGCGCCCATACTCAATCATTGTTATGCTTAAGCCCATTGTTGCAGCCACTGTGTCAATCAATCTCATTGAGGGTCTTCCTCTTTTTCGCTGACCCTCTATTTACCAATCATGACGTCCTTCTCCAGGGACTGTTCCCTCCCAAGAACATGTCCAAAGTAGGTGAGATGTAGTCTCGCCATCCTTGCTTCTAAGGAGCATTCTGGTCGTACTTCTTCCAAGACAGATTTGTTCATTCTTCTAGCAGTTCATGGCATATTCAATAAATAAGCTTACTCTTACTCAATGTGTTCTTTCTGTGTTGTGATTGCTCTTTCTTCTCTGTACTTAAATTTTGGATCTGTAGATCTTAGGCCCTGAAATCCTAAACCCCAGGTTGTACACAGGGATCCATGGAGCCCTGAGAGCCTCAGAGGGTGAATGACCCCATGTAATGTCTATGTCCATATGCATATTTTCCAACAGATTCTCAAAGGAGTTTTTTATTCACAAAGTGTCAACAACTACTTCCTAAAGAAATATCCAGACTACAACTGCTGAAGACTTATGGACAGCCGACTCATTCATCTCTAACATGAGATAAGCCCTCACTCACCCTGTGTTGCCTAGTATGGAACACAAAGGAGGTACCAAGGGGAAAAGCTCATTTTGAATCAGCTTTCTTTAAAAGAGTTTTTAGGCCAATGAAAAAAAGCCCATGTTGCTAAATAAATCAAGGTTACAAAACTGTATTTGGTACAGTAAAAATAATCTGGAGCCCTGGTGGCACAGTGGTTAAGAACTCAGCTGCTAACCAAAAGGTTGGCAGTTTGAATCCACTAGCTGCTCCTTGGAAACTCTGTGGGGCAGTTCTACTCTGTCCTAAAGCGTCACTATGGAATCAACCTCATGGCAATGGGTTTGAGTCAAAGAGACTCAATGATAAATAGCTTAAAAGAGTTATTTTCTTATCATAGAACAGATCCATTGTTGTTTAGCCCAGCTCTGTGGGATAGTTCTGCACTTCGTGATCAATCAGGGACACTGGTCCTTCCCAAGTCATTACTTTGCCATCTCCTAGGTCTTGATGTGCTACCTGGGTAGCATAAATGGTTAAGCACTCAACTACTAGCCACTGAAAAGTTGGTGGTTTGAATTCACCCAGAGGCACCTTTGAAGACACATCTGGTGATCTGCTTCCAAAAGGTCACAGCCTTGGAAACTCTATGAAGCTGTTGTACTCCGCACACACGGTCACAATGAGTTGGAATCAACTCGAAGGCAACTAACAACAGGGCCTGATGTTCTCTGCTTGGAACTAGATCAACATCATTACAACTAACTGGTGGGAAGAGGGAAGTAGGCAACATGTAAGGTTTTAAGGCCGAGGCCTGCCTGGAAGTAACTTTCATCATTTCTCACATTTGTTGGAGAGAATTTAGCAACATACTTAAATGTTCTGCCAGAAATGTTGCCTCTGGGTAGGTAGCCATCTGTCCAGCCTTGCCTCTAGTGTTATAAAGTGAACAGATTTTATTGGAAGAATGCCAGCCTATATGCCAATAATCCTTATTATTAATGCATTACTAAAGAAGCACGTAAATTAGTGTTTCCCAACTTGGGTATTTTATAGTTTTATCATGGTATATCAATTTTAAAAATTACATTTGATATAGGGTCACTATGAGTCAGAATCGACCCGATGGCAATGGATTTGGTTTTTTTTTATTTGGTTTTTTTAATGGCATATTAGTTCTGGATACTAGTCAAGCACTTAAGTGTTTATACCACCCAGGGCTAAAAAACATTAAAACCAAAAATATACCGGTAATATGCCAATATTCCCCAAGATACTTCACAGAATAAAACCTGTTGTGAGGACACCAAAGATGTGGCATGCTGACGATCCCAGGAGGCTGCAAAGTTTACAGTGGGTAAGAATAAGGAATAGAGTAACCAACTTGAGAACTGCTTGCTTATCTTTGTCTCATTTCCTTACATACATGGAAGAAAAGGTGAGGAATTGAACCAAGATGTGGGTTTGAAAAACCAAGCCCAGCACTTTTTATTTTGTGGCATGAAACTTCATGGCACTATAATTTAAGGTAGAACAGACTTGTAATAAAGTCGAAGATTATTCAAGATAGAGCCAACATAGTGAGGACTCAGCAAATACGAATCTGTTTACATACTTACATTGGCCACTGATACTTTAATGAAGCTTTTTTGGTTTTTGTCGTTGCTGTTGTTTTATTCAACAAGAGAAACCAGCAGCTCCGGACAGAGCACTATAGAAGATACAAGTCACCCTCCCTCTCCATTCCACCAAAAAGTAATAATAGAGTATCCTATGTATTGTCCTACTTTTCCCATAGGACTACTTTCAGTGTACTTTAAATTCCATCAAATTTTACATTTGTCAAGCTCCCCCATCCTGTGAGCTCTGGGAAGGCTGGTTGTTTTAACATCTACCGCTCATATAACAGTTAACTAGACACCGTAGCGCTAGACACCACCTCGTACTTCTTTCGTCTTTTTCCTATAAACCCATGCTTTTTTTTTTTCTGTAATGCTCTCTAGCACCCTGTTCAAAGCTCCAGATGATTAAGTAGTGAACTGCAGTGAATCATTCTAAGTCTTCTGATCATAATGGTGAAAATACAAAGTACAAACTAATGATATTACAGATGACTCCGACGGATCTACAAAGTTGACTTAACTGTCAACTAGGAAAGAACAAGTGTTAACGTTTAAACGATTTAACTCACAGTTACAAAGTACAAGGATGGACCCAGCGTCGAATTAAAACAAATAGAAAGCGCGATCACATAGTGGTTGGCTCTTTGAAGTGAAAACATGGATGGCCCTGAAAAGGGCCTTTTGTTTTGCTGCCGATATTAGATTCGGAGTTCAGGCTTAGCCGCCAAAGCCATACAGAGTGCGCCCCTGGCGTTTGAGCGCATAGACCACATCCATGGCCGTGACCGTCTTCCGCTTGGCGTGCTCAGTGTAGGTGACTGCGTCGCGAATCACGTTCTCCAAAAAGACCTTGAGCACACCGCGGGTCTCCTCATAGATGAGACCAGAGATGCGCTTGACACCGCCGCGCCGAGCGAGACGCCGGATGGCGGGCTTAGTGATACCCTGGATGTTATCACGCAGGACTTTGCGGTGGCGCTTGGCGCCTCCTTTCCCGAGGCCCTTTCCACCTTTACCACGCCCAGACATTGTCACGCAACACTTCGTGAGTTTGTAAAACAGTGCCGAGCGGCGCACAACGCAGCCTTTTTATACTTACATGACGGACCTGTTTGAAAACCTCAAGTACAGGGGCGGGAACCTTAACTCACTTCCCGCCCCCCTGTGCCTTGTCCCTTGTGGACTAACGGGAGATCAAGCCGGACGCCAGAGGCTGCAGTGAAGGCTGGGGGTGGAGTTTGTTAAATGCTTTTAGCGGAAAGGTTAGCGATTCGCACCCACTCAGAGGCGCCTCGGAAAACAGAAAGGCCTGGCGATTTGCTTCCGAAAGGCAACAGCCTTGAAAACCCTATGGAGCAGTTCTACTATGCATACGTGGTGTCGTCATGAGTTTGAGTGAAGTAGACTGGATGGCAACTAACAGCAACAAATATGGATAGTTGTGTATGTGTATACAATACCTGCAGCCATTAACTGGTTTTATTCAGTACACTCGTTATTCTGTACTAATGCTCAATATTTCTTCCTGGGCAAAAATTCACACACTTTCCACAAAGACATCTGAAACTTGTCCTTCATATTTTCAAAGTATGAAATAATTAATGCACGCTGTAGTTCCATATCAGCCGTTTTAAATATCGTTTTAAGCAAATCATGTCTTCATTGTTTAAATTGCTAAGATTAGGTTCAGACAGATTATGAATGTGTATGTAACGAAGATTTTTATAAATACATGTATCACAAAGTGAGGAGAACCTTGTCCGCCTGTGAGTTGACAGGTTTATGGGTTGACTGTATCCTTAATTGTGGACAGGTTGTATCTAGCATGTATCTCTCACTGCTTTCTATTTCCCCAACAGCTTGGCCCTATAACGTCTACAGCCAAGCTCTGGTGACAACCTGTTCCATAGTAGCTCTGTGACCTTGGCCAAGCTGTACTAAGGATCATTTTAAAATGCTATATGATAAAGCCTATTTTATAGAGTTTTGTTAAGTTTCAAAGCAATAATCCATGCAAAGCACGTAGAAAAATATCTGCAAATAAGCACCAAGCATGAATTATCATCATGTATTACATTATTGTGGCTGCTCTCCTCCTCCCCTTGGTATTAACTCTCTAATGTGATGAACATAAGAGAGTTCTAATTCGCTACAACCTGGTTTGAGAACTTCTCAAAATAATATACTTAAAGACTTGACTCATCATTAATCCCCCCGAGCAGTGGCAGCTGCCTTTTAAATGATTTGACTTTTCCTCCCTGGCGTAAGAAGGACCATTGTTGGCTTATAGACTGATGAGAAGAAGTTCCACACAACTGTTCCAGGCATTTATGGACATTCTTAGCCCAGGATCCACAGACAGGATTCAGAGGATCTCGGGATGCGTATAGAACAAAAATTGCATATTTATTTTCACTATCTCCAACCTAACTGTAGCATTTCCTTCATTTATGAATGGCAGCAACAAACAGTAGAATTGGCAGAACCTATGCAATATTCGTATCACACTGTAATAGTCAATATGTCAGAATATCATTTAAACATATCGCTCCTAAACTATGGTAATTTTTAGTATTTCAGGGAGATCTTATTAATGCATTATTAAAGAAGCAAAAACATAAGTTAATATTTCTCCAATTTGGATAATTTATAATTTTATAATGGTATATTAAATCAATTTTTAAAATTATATTTGATATAGGGTTCTTGTGAATCGCAAGTAACAAAGCGCGAATTGGTTTCTTTTTTTTTTTTTTTTTTTGGTTTTAATAGTATATTAGCCCTGGATGGTATAAACGGTTAAGTTCTTGACTAATAGCCAAGAGGTTGGTGGTTCAAACCCACCCAAAGGCACCTTGGAGGACAGGCCTGGCGATCTACTTCTAAGAGGTCATGGCCTTGAAAACCCTACGGAGTAAGTTCTATTCTACACGCATGAGGTTGCCAGTAGTCTGAATGGACTGGAAGGCAACTAACAACAAATGGTGTATTAATATAATTCATTTCCTTTGTAATTTTATGTATTTTATCTTAAGCATTTACAAACATTATTCTGGGAAGGGGCCCATAAGCCTCATCAGACATCCAAAGAGGTCCACGGCACCAAAATGCTTAAGAATTCCTCTCCTAAAGGATCCTGAAAGCCTTGGAAGATTTCGGGTTTCATAAATGTGCACAGAACAGCACTAGGAAATTCCATGAATATTGGAATAGAAATCATGTTATTAATGATATTCTGATGGAGGTGTGTAAAGGTAAATGGAATGATTTTCTTCATTGATAAAGAGCAAAGAGATCATTTCCCTTTCCCCTTAGAGAGTTTCCCTGGAGATAGTCAGAATCTTTACTCTAACCTCAGAATAGAGATAAATCTTTCTAGGGATTAAGCCCAGTCTCCAGTTATTACATTGTAGAGATATTGCCAAGGCCTTGGACTAAATAACTTCTCAACATGCAAAAGTATATATATTTCTGGAATTAGCATAGAGGTCTCTCACAAGATATACAGAAGATTGTCACAATATGTAGCCCCTTTGTGTCTCAAGGAAATAAGTTACTGTCTTTTTTCTGCTTTGCTGCATAAAATGTGTGAGATTTTGTCCTAACTTTGTAGTCATGTTTGTGCTACCTTACATGCATGTAAATCTGTTAATGTTTACTCAGTAATAAATTGTTCTCTCTCCCTCTCTAGTTCTATGTTTCTCTCCTATATTAGTACAGAGGGGTATTTCTGTTGGCATAATTGTTTTATTTCCCCAATGTGTAAAAGGGACCAAAAGCCTCATAGGCTTCAGATTCCTTTATTTTATCTTAATAAATAGGAATATGGTTGCTGAAACATGAAATCTCTGTCTAAATTGATGTGAGGGTTAAAACTTTCTAAGGAGAGGCATAATATGGGCCCCTCATAGCTCAATGGTAGAAATTGGAACAAGCTTCTTAATTCATAATTGCTCTACACCTTCAATGGTGGATAAGATCCCCTTGGCCAGGTGTGGCTCTCATTCAATTGAAAATGGGTAAGAAGAGCCAAGCATGTTAACAGTACTCTGTAGGGCATGGTGGTGCAGAAAAATAGTCATTTCAGCAATAGCCATGATGGCAGAATAAAGCAATGGAATGGGATTCGGGACACTCTTAAGCCTGGTTCCACATGGACAACCTATATATGATTGTGCAAGTTGTCCTATATGAATGACTATACATCATACCTATAAGACCAATTCCATACTTTGGGTTTTTTTTTTTTTTTAATTATTAAGAAGACTTAAAAGTGGACAAATATGCAGATGATATGAAGCAGATTGAGGGCAGTGGTGGTTCAGTAGTAGAATTTCCTTCCATGCAGGAGACCTGGGTTTCATTCTCAACCAATTCTCCTCAAGCATAACCATCATTTGTCTGTCAGTGGAGGCTTGTGTGTTGCTATCATGCTGAACAAGTTTCAGCGGAGCTTTCAGATGCAGACAACAATGACAGCAATGGCATGAAGTAGATTATAATGGCCGTTAAATTATGAGAGAAGTTCAAAAGAGAGATAGATGTCGTCTAATTTAAGAGATAGGGAATGATAGATATAAACATTTCAAGGTATGTCACTGGATTAGTCTGAAGTACACTTTGACTTTAAAATGGAGTAGGGGAGAGGGAAAAGGTAAGGGAAAATGGAAAAAGATACTGTGAAAAGTTGGATAATTTGACCAAGGTCGTGCAGTTTACAAGCTGCAAAACCAGACTCAAATACAGGTCAGTGTGTTTGCAAAATCTATGCTTGTTCAGAATGGTGATTTAAGGCCATATAAATGACGTTGAATGACATACTAAAGAGCTTATTCTGGAATTAGAAAGCTACAGGAAAATGGGCCAAATAATATGAAACTCACTTAAAGAATATTTCACTGAGCACAATGAAGAGGATGAATTATAGCACAGAGAGATGAGAGGAAGGAGAGGCCCACAGGGAGGCTGTGAGGAGAGCCAATCCAGACAAGATACGGAAGAGCCAGAATTACAGTCATGATGGGGGAAATAAAAGAGGAGAAATGAATTCAGGAAAAGTTCACCAATCTTGATGACAGACTGGATGTGGTGGCAAAGGAAAGGAAGGAGTTGACGTTTTCGCATCAGCTTATTAGAGTGGTTGTGTTCTTAACAGCATTTCTAAAGATGTCAACTGGAAGGGTATCTTTTGATTGGAAGCTGCTGAGATGAGCCTGGTCCTATTTCCAGTGTGGTGTAGGTAGATGAAGAAGCAGTTATCTGGCAAGCACCTGAAAATGCAAGTTTGACATTTAGGCAAGAGAAAAGTCCTGAAGGTAACTCGTGAAGCCCTGAAAGTGAATGGGGCAGACCCTTGGAGAATTCCTACATTTAGATGGCTAGGAGAGACCCCTCCCTTCGTAGGTGCTACAGAAAAGCATCTACAATGCATCCAAATTATTGTTTAAAAAAAATTAGGCATTCATGAGTTCCATAAAAGGTGAATGCACATTCAAAGCAAAAATGATTTCTATCAAGCTGGATCCTCACCTCATTCACCCATCTGAACTGTGTTTCTAATTTTTAATTTTTATTAACATTTATTAATTTTTGTCTGTCCAAGTTGGGGGTGCTACATGAAGTAATTGGTCACTGTTGCTTTGGATGGAATCAATGAGAAATATGAAATGCTCACCTCTTAGGCTTTGCTCTGTCTGTTCCTAGCATTTCTCTCTTTCGTAGTCCTAGTGAAACACAGGCTCGTACATATTTCAAAATAAACAAATAATACATTAAAGACAAGCAGTTTAAGGAGTGAGGAAGAACATAAAATCAAATCACTTTCTGCCATTAATCTATATTTTATTTAACATTAAGCATATGTGTGATGAGTTTCCTATAAGCTTATATCCTTGCTTAAATAAAAGAGACGTAGTAGTAAGTATAAGACATGATTGTTTTTATATTTCTCCCAAGGGGAATATATAAATATATACATATAAATATATATTCATGTGTCTTGTGTGTATAGATATTCCTTGGTTCTGTTACTTGCATACTTTGCTAATTTATCTTCCTCAAGCATGAGACCCCTCTATTTCCAAAAGCTCATGAACTTTTTAATAACTGACTCCCCTAGTGAAAACAATGAAAACAAAATAAAATTTTGAACCCATAAGGAGATCCGAGTCTCTCTCTTTTTAAGCTTTTTCCTAGATGTCCTTTGGGATCAGCTATTGCAATTCAGGCCCAGTTATCATGTCCAGAGGATCACTGATCACTGCGTTTGCCTGATTTGCCTAGAAAAATGCTGAATACTTGAACCCCAAAATGAACTAACGTTCCAAACAATCACAAGAAATCATGATAATGCTCTTTCAGACCAGAATAACGATTTTAGAGGGCAGAAAGGTCCATTATCCCGGGTGTCATTTATTGCTGTTCTTGCAGAGAAATCCAGAAAGAGCCTGTGTTACTTCTCCTCATATGAAACAGATTTTCTGGGTAAATCTCAAGGAGATCCAAGCAGTTGTTGACCGAATGAGAAGCCAAGGATGTATAGAACATCACGAGAGAATAAGGACTTGCAGACACAAAGGGGAGAATTTATATTTTAAACGAAAATCAAGAAGTTGTCTCTCTGACCTTTGAATCTCTCACAGAGTCCCGAGCTTTTGAAAAAAACGGAGGCCGACGTGATAGAAACCGGAGAAAAAAACTATGAAGATCTCAAAGCTTGAGCTGTCTCAGTTCATCTTGGAATAAAATTGATGTGATTCCTCCACGGGAATTTTTAATTTTTTGCTTTCCTGAATTGTAACAAACACAATTCCGGGACAGAGCTGAGCCTACGTTGCTGCCAAGCTGGAAGACTGAGCTGGGAACCAATCAGCGAACAGCGCCGCTGTCTATATATACACACTGACTCCGCGGCTTGACAGTTCAACTCTGGGACTTTTTTGTTGTTGTTGTTAGTTATCAAAACCTACAACCATGTCGGAAACCGCACCTGCCGCGCCTGCTACAGCTTCCCCCGCGGAAAAGACTCAGATAAAGAAAAAGGCCCGCAAGTCTACAGGTGCCGCCAAGCGCAAGGCGACGGGGCCGCCGGTGTCGGAGCTCATTACCAAGGCGGTGGCTGCCTCCAAGGAGCGCAGCGGCGTGTCCCTGGCAGCGCTCAAAAAGGCCCTGGCGGCCGGCGGCTACGACGTGGAGAAGAACAACAGCCGCATCAAGCTGGGTCTCAAGAGCCTGGTGAGCAAGGGCACTCTAGTACAGACCAAGGGCACCGGCGCCTCCGGCTCCTTCAAGCTTAACAAGAAGGCAGCTTCCGGGGAAGCCAAGCCCAAAGCCAAGAAGGCCGGTGCCGCCAAGGCCAAGAAGCCAGACGGGACAAAGAAGCCCAAGAGGCCGGCGGCTGCCACCCCGAAGAAGAGCACCAAGAAAACCCCAAAGAAGGCAAAGAAGCCAGCAGCGGCTGCTGGGGTCAAGAAAGTGGCCAAGAGCCCGAAAAAGGTGAAAGCAGCCAAACCCAGGAAGGCGGCCAAGAGCCCAGCTAAGGCCAAGGCCCCTAAGCCTAAAGCAGGCAAGCTCAAAGCAGGCAAGCCCAAGAAGGCAGCTCCCAAAAAGAAATGAAAGATTGAGAATACCTTAAAAGGCTCTTTTCAGAGCCACCCAATTAATCCTAAAAAGAGCGATTAACACCGTGATTACCGGATGGCAGGTTGGGAGAAGGGTGGGAAGTTAGTAAACATTTAACATCTTTCACAGAGAAGGTGGTCACCTCTGAAAAGAGCTTTTAAAAACTTAAAGGTAATTGACAGCCTTGGTTTATGCCCCTCTCTCCGTGAATGTAGCGTGCCAGCTGGGTGTCCATGGGCATGGTGGTGACGCACAGATTAGTGTCCTCAAAACGCCCCACCAGGTGGTCCTCGCACGCTTCCTGCAGCGCCATCACGGCCGAGCTCTGGAAGCACAGGTCGGTCTTGAAGTCCCGAGCGATCTCGCGCACCAGCAGCTGGAACGGCAGCTTGCGGATGAGCAGCTCGGGCGCCTTCTGGTAGCGCCCGATCTCGCGCAGCGCCCGGGTGCCGGGCCGGTAGCGGTGCTGCTTCTTCACGCTGCCGGTGGCCCGCGCGCTCTTGCGGGCCGCTTGGTGGCCTGCTGCTTGTGCGGCGCCTTCCCGCCAGTGGACTTGGGAACTGTCTGCTTCGTATGAGCCATCGCAAATTTCTCTAAAGCCGTTGGTTTATGTCAAAATGGAAGCGGACCAAGTTCTGCCCGAATATATCTTTATGTATAAAGAGTCGCGATTTGATTGGACAAGGCATCTCCACCGTGGCTTTCAGTGAATATTGGTGGTGACGTTCACCTCCTGAGCGTATGAATCACCCTGGCATTTGGCCCAAACTTTAACGTCCAACTCCTCCCCTCCCCTTTAACTGATTGTGTTTTCAACCATTTTCTCGTTTGTATCGTCTTTATGAAGTTTATTTACAATGCCCTTTTGGCTATTCTCTGCAGACCTTAGTTTAAATTATTAGAATGATGTATCTCGTTTGCTGAATAAAGTTTAAAACGTTAGCGTCTGAAACAGGCTTTCTAGTTTTCGATTTTTTGAAAAGACGCGCGCTAGAATATGATTGGCCAAATTATTTTTAACTCATTCCAGGTTACGGCTAATTTCACCTCAATATGATATGCCTCCAATTTTTAGAGTTTTTTTCGTTTCTTTTTTATAAAGACTTTCTAAATGTACCCCATTAACTCTGAAGTGACTTCACGCTTGATATTAGAACTAAAATATCCTCATAAAAGCACTTCACTATCTTTTACAGTTTCTACTGAGATTGTGTGAATTAAAAAAAAAAAAAAAACTACCTAAAACTTACAGATTAAAAAAATTCAAACCAAACCCGTTGCCGTCGAATAGATTCTGACTCAGCGACCCTGTAGAACAGAGTAGAACTGTCTCCATAGGGTTCCCAAGGAGCGACTGGTAGATTTAAACTGCCGACCTGTTGGTTAGCAGCCAAGCTCTTAACCACTGCGCAACCAGGGCTCCAAACTTATAAACAGTACGTAAATATTACCGTGTCCCTTTTTCAAAGTCATGCTGAATCCTTTATTAAGTAGCATGTAGGCTAATGTCATCTGAATACAGAAGATGTCTTCCTATTTACAATTCATTAGGGTCCCACTTTGTAGAGCTGGAGGTTGGCAGGTAAAAACTTGAGAACTGCAGATGATTTTGTCCCCTGAAGATGCAAAACAACTCTTTTTAGCAAGAGATAACACTAAAGGTGAGGGTTTTATTGCTTTGTAGGTCACTAACTTGATTTGCATCTAAATTCTTAACACTCAACAGGCATTATTCTTGCCACTTTTTGTTTCTTCCAAACCAGTTTAGCAATCCTGACCTCCTTCCTCATCGATCAGTTTTAATTCTAACACAAACTCAATTTATTTAATTTTAGTGTTAAGGTTGTTTAGTTTAAAAAGTGTTCTATTTACCTTCTTCAAAATTTTGAGTCTTAAAATATATAGTATATTCAAGTCTGACAACTCGAGTCTAAACATTGACACTTCCATGTTGAATTGTGCTAGTAAAGATCGCTGCCCATTGCATGAAGAAAACGTGAGCCCTTTTAATGAATACGTGGATGGCTCTGAAAAGAGCCTTTGGTTTAAAGATGGACTCAACGACCTAAGATTCTGGCTAACTTTTGCAATTTACTTTCCCTTGGCCTTGTGGTGGCTCTCGGTCTTCTTGGGCAGCAGCACGGCCTGGATATTGGGCAGGACGCCACCCTGCGCGATGGTCACGCGGCCCAGCAGCTTGTTGAGCTCCTCGTCGTTGCGGATGGCCAGCTGTAGGTGGCGCGGGATAATGCGCGTCTTCTTGTTGTCGCGGGCCGCGTTGCCCGCCAGCTCCAGGATTTCGGCCGTCAGGTACTCCAGCACCGCCGCCAGGTACACGGGAGCGCCGGCCCCGACCCGCTCGGAGTAGTTCCCCTTGCGGAGCAGGCGGTGCACTCGGCCCACGGGGAACTGGAGTCCAGCCCTAGAGGATCGCGTCTTAGCTTTGGAGCGGGCCTTACCACCTTGCTTTCCGCGTCCAGACATCTTAAATGTCTGCCACCGAACTGCCTAGAAATGAGAAAAGAAGTACGTATACGAATCTAAACAGCAAATAAGGAACAATTATACACGCAAGCGGAATTGTAAATTACGCTGTTTGATTGGGTAAAACAAGCTTTGCAATTACAACCAATTACAAAGGACAACTAGAGTCGACTACTTTGCGTACCATCCGACTACGTAAGACAATTTATCCAATCAACGTTCAAGTTTTCCTATCTCCTTTTTTGCATAGGAGCCCTACAAATATTATGAGTGAATGAGGCAGTACATGTGGCGTTTTACTTTGGTTTAAGAAATCTCTTTTTGTCATGCCTGATCCTGCGAAATCCGCTCCAGCCCCGAAGAAGGGCTCCAAGAAGGCGGTGACCAAAGCGCAAAAGAAAGACGGCAAGAAACGTAAGCGAAGCCGCAAGGAGAGTTATTCCGTGTACGTATACAAGGTGCTGAAGCAGGTCCACCCGGACACCGGCATCTCGTCCAAGGCCATGGGCATCATGAACTCGTTTGTCAACGACATCTTCGAGCGCATCGCTGGTGAGGCGTCTCGCCTGGCGCATTACAACAAGCGCTCGACGATCACATCCAGGGAGATCCAGACGGCCGTGCGTCTGCTGCTTCCCGGGGAGCTGGCCAAGCACGCCGTGTCCGAGGGCACGAAGGCTGTCACCAAGTACACCAGCTCCAAGTAAGCCTGTCATGTAAGCGTCTTTACAGCCATCCACAAAGGCTCTTTTAAGAGCCATCCACTTTTTCAAGCTTAAGAGTTGTATTAACTTGTATATTTTCTGTAATTGCTAAGCAGTTTTTTTTTTTTTTTCACTTCCTATGCTAAGACTGTTTTTTGTTTGCTACTGTTGCTGTATACTAACGTTAAAATATACACCACCCCCATCACCACCCCAGCCAGCTTTTTGGCTGACTGAAAAGAAAATATTGTACTTCATTGTTACTTCATTGTAGATCATAGTAAAAATGTTGTCTCTTGCCTCCACTGCCCACATTAGTTAAAAGACTGGAAATTGGCTCAAGTGCAAATTTCACCTAAACTTGTGAAGTGTCCCTTATACGTTGTTTCCATAAGAAGTGAAGAGAACTTAAAATTTGGTTATACTCCTTTTGTTGGTATGTTATGGTAAGAAGAAAATGCAATTTCTTAGTTCCAATTTAATCCCATTTCTACACATGTAGCTTAAAACAATATCACTCCTGAAAATACTAATAATAGGAGCAACACTGTTCATAAAAATACAAACAAGTTTGAACATAACTGGCACCAAGATGGGCCTATTTATCTAATAAAAGGTTAGACCTTTGGCAATATGCTACACTGGGGCTCATGATTCAGCCAGTCCAGGAAAGAAACATCTTTAAAATGTTTTTGTGCCTCTCAAAATTTTTTTTCTCTTCTTCCAGTGTGAATTTTTTAATGTGTTTATCTTGGTTGGCCTCCCCCAAAAAAATCTACTTTTTAAATGAATCAAATCATACAATTCACAATAATTACAAACACTACTACTGCCCTGTCCTATGTAGACATATATAAAAGTACTGAAAACACACATTTCCCCATGTAGCTATAAATCTAGATAAGGTTATGAACAAGCCATGAATGGCATATCAGGTAAAATAAATGCTAATAATGTACGTTCAAAATGTTTTTAGAATTGAACCCAGTCAGGAAAAAAGTAATAGTATTCTATATTCCTGTATAATTCCTTGTATGAATAACAAACTTTCTACTCCTATACAACACGTGCACAGGCAGACACACAACACGCACAACATATAAGTATTCAAACAACAGAACACACAACACAAAGAACAAAGGCAACAAGAAATATCTAAAAACATATAAAACCAGGTAAATGTATGTGAGAACTACCTTATATTGTTATAGTCCATTTTTACTTTCTACTGACCCAGAAGTAAATATCTAAACCAATGTCTATATAAGCTTTAGGGGAGCTCATGAACTCCTGAAATGAAAAGCAAAAACGTACCCATAGGGGAATTCCCCTCCCAGAGCAGATGGTATATAGCTTTCAATATTTTGTGACTAATTGTATCAGGCAGAAAAATACCACCCCAAATATGTCTAAGTGTTAATTCCTGGAAACTTTGAATACGTTAGATTACAAGGCAAAGGGGAATTAAGGTTGCAGATAGAGTTAAGTTTGCAAATCAACTGGCCTTAAAAATAGGGAAATTATCCTGAATTATCCAAGTGATCCCAGTGTAGTCACACACACACAAACCTGTTGCCCTTGAGTCTATTCCAACTTATGGTGACCTGTCCTTAAAAGTGGAAGAAGGAATCAGAATAGAGAACAGAGAGAAGGCATGTAGAGAAGGATATGGTGAAAGAGGGCCATGAGTCAAGGAAAGTGGTCAGCCTCTACCCAGAACCACATCCACTGCCAAAACCACATCCATGTAAGCACACTACCATATCTTTCTCCTCTGAGCAGCTAGTGGGTCCAAACTGCTGACCTCTCTCTCAGTTAGCAGCCAAGTAGTTTAACCACTATGGCACCAGGGCTACTGGTTGGCCTGTAAGAGCTGGAAAACGCAAGGTAATCTCCCCTAAATGCTCCAGAAAGGAATGCAGCCCCGCCAACACCCTGCCTTTAGCTGAGTGAAGTTTGTATCTGTACTTCTGAAATGTACAACAGTAAATTTGTGTTGTTTTAAGGTATAAGCTTGAGGTAATTTGTCACACCTGCAATAGGAAACTAATACAGTTTAAGAAGTATTGAATAATTCATTCAATAATATTATTTAAGATAATGACAGCATATATACTTGAATATACACATACTATTGAAGTTATGATAAAATAAATGCAAAAACTTTGTAAACGTTGCGGCTCATATAATTTTGAAACCACTCTTATTTTAACAGCAACCTACATTTCCTTTTTCAGGCTATGATATTGCTTTAACAGCAGGAAGTCTAATTTCATAGATCAGCCCTTCCTCTACTCATTGTATTTTATTATTACCTCTGATAATAATACAAGTGACTTCAAAGAGCTCTCATGCATTATCTGTAAAGTATAAGATTAATGGAAAATTCACTTCATAATACCCATAAATAAATAACTTCATGAATAATGGAAAATTCACTTCATAATACCCATAAATAACTTCATGAATTATAAAACTATTTTCGTTGTCGTTATTGCATTTGTTTTCACAAAAATGTCAATAGAGTTGATTTCAATAATGTTGTTGTTAAGTGCTGTCCAGTTGGTTCTGACTCATAGCGACCCCCTGCACACCAGAACGAAGCACTGGCCATTCCTGTGCCATCTACACAATCTTTGCTACGTTTGAGCCCCTTGTTGCAGCCACTGTGTCAATCCATCTCGCTGAGGGCCTTCCTCTTTTTTGCTGACCTTCTACTTTATCAAGCATGATGTCTTTCTGGGACTGGTCCATCCTGATAACATGTGCAAAGTACATGAGATGAAGTCTCACTATCCTTGCTTCTAAGGAGCATTCTGGCTGTATGTCTTCCTAGACAGATTTGTTTGTTCTTCTGGCAGTCCATGGTATATTTAGTATTCTTTGCCAACATCATAATTCAAAGCATCAATTCCTCTTCAGTCTTCTTTATCCATTGTCCTGCTTTTGCATGCATATAATGCGATTGAAAATACCATGGCTTGAGTCAGGCACACCTTAGTCCTTAAAGTGACATCTTCGCTTTTAAATACTTTAAAGAGGTCTTTTGCTGCAAATTTGCCCAATGTGATACATCATTTGACGTCTTGGCTGCTGCTTCCATGGACGTTGATTGTGGATCCAAGTAAAAGGAAATCCTTGACAATTTTGATGTTTTTCTCCATTTATCATGATGCTGTTTATTGGTCCAGTTGTGAAGATTTTGTTTTCTTTATGTTAAGATGTAATCCATACTGACGGCTGTAGTCTTTGATTTTCATCAGTAAGTGCTTCAAGTCCTCTTCACTTTCAGCAAGCAAGGTTGCATCATCTGCATATCGAAGTCTGTTAATAAATCTTCCTCCAGTTCTGATGCTGCATTTTTTGTCATATAGTCCAGCTTCTCCGATTATTTTCTTAGCATACAGATTGAATAAGTATGGTAAAAGGATACAACCCTAACACACACTTTTCCTGATTTTAAACCAAGCAGTATCTCTTTGTTCTGTTCAAACGACTGCCTCTTGATCTACTTACAGGTTCCTCATGGGCACAATTAAGTGTTCTGGAATTCCCATTCTTCCCAAAGTTATCCATAATATTTTTATGAGCCACAGAGTCAAATGTCTTTGCAGTCAATAGTTGCATTTTATAAGCAAGTCACAGAGGTTGTTAGAACCAAAGTTCATTAAAGTGGCAGAACTCAAATTCCAACCATCATCTATGACGCTGTGGTCTTTCAAAGGATGCCTTAATAGAGTTCGAAATCAGTTCACATGTATAGATATTTCTCAACACGTTAAGAAATATTTTTTGCATATATTATATCCTCTCCCCAGCACTAGGCTACATCTTTTTTCCCGGTAGGTTCCTTACCCATGTTCATGTGTCCTGAGTCAACCAAAAAGGGTGGCTTCGTTAGACTAGTGGAGGAAGCCTCATATCCCACTGGCCTGTAGGCTGTTTTCAAATTCAGCTCTCTTCTCCTCGCTTCTGGAATAAATGCTTTAACTACCTCAAGTAAGTGATGGTGATAAACCTTGCCCAGACTATTAGATCTTTGAGGGCAGGGAAAGGAGCATTTGATACCAAAGTGACCGATGTTGAGAAGGAGTTCAAATAAGCAAATGCTTTATAATGCAAAGTAGTAATGCCCTTTTAACTCAAAGGAGATTTAGCTTCATGTTATCAGTCAAGGTCCAGACAGGAAAACAGAAAACAGTTATTTTAACAAAGATAATTTAATAAAGGTTACGCCAGTGTATAAAAAAAAAGGTTGCCATAGAGTTCATTCCAACTCATGGCAAGCCCATATTTTGCAGAACTGTGCTCGATAAGATTTTCATGGCTATGACCTTTCAGAAGCAGATTGCCAGGCTTTTCTTCCAGGATGCCTCTGGGTAGGTTTGAACCACCAACCTTTCAGTTAGTAGTGGAGTGCTAACTATTTGCACTGCCCAGGGTGTTAGAAGACTTAAAAAGCAAAAGGGGACCCTAAGGTGTTCCAGAGACAATAACTGAAGGAAGCAGCAGTCACACATAAGGCTGGGGCACAAAGGATGAAGCAAAGTTATTAGAATCTAGAAACTTGGTTGGAGCTGGGGCTCAGAACACTGCGTGAGCGTAATGAAGCTGGTCCTGGGACTGTAGGGGGAAATTTGGGAACTGGAGCCAATTGCTACGGCCAGGGTGAAAGACCATTGCTGGCGTGATCCAGAAACAGAAAGTTCCATCTGCTACTGTCTTCTTTCCAGCCTCACTATGTCCCTTATTTGCAGAGCCTAACAGGGATCCATCCCCACCATCCATCTCAGTTTGTCATACTGTGATGGCTTGTGTGTTGCTATGAAACTGGAAGCTATGCCACTGATATTTCAAATACCAGCAGGGTCACCCATGGTGGACAGGTTTCAGCAGAGCTTCCAAACTAAGACAGACTAGGAAGAAAGGCCTGGAAACCTAATTCTGAAAATTACCCAGTGAAAACTCTGTGGATCACAACAGAATATTGCCTGGTACAGTGCTAGAAGATGAGTACTTAAATTTGAAGACACTCAAAATACACAGTGACCTCAACAATGGACTTGATTATACCAATGATCATGCAAATGGCACAGGACCAGGCAACTTTTTGTTCTGTTGTTCATGGGGTCACCATGAGTTAGAGCTAAATCAATGGCAACTAACAATGACAACAACAGGGATCCAGCTGGGGAAAAACAACAACAACCTTGCAAATTTCTAGAACCTGTACTATAGAAAGAGTATAGAAAGATGTGTGGGGAGAATACAGGATTTGCAGCTGAGAAATACAACCTCTCTATAGGGCTGTTCACAATAATGCTGTTAACTCTTTTGAGAGCTAGTGATCCAAAAGAAGGAGAGAACCAAATAGAAACCTCATTGTCTTTTATAACCAAATATTGGAAGTGACTACTTTAACTGTATTACCTTGGATGAGGTATGGTAAGGCCAAATGCAGATCAAATAAGAGAGAGAGAGAGAGAGAGACCATGAAAGTTTTAAAGCTTTTATTATACTCACATTTCCCTGGGAAGAAAGTAGGATGCTGAAATGCAAGGTCACTGAGGATATGCACCAGGAACAAGGTAACAAGCTGAAATTATAGGAGAGGATTTATGTATGGCAAGCAGGGAGGGGTTAGCTAGGTTTCTTTGGTATTCTGGGAATTGAGTATTTTGAGTAATTCTGCAAGCTCCAAGGCATAGAATCTGTCCCTAGGTGTTGGGCACTTGGCCCCAGGGCAATTAGGGCAGGTTTATAGTGGCCTAGGAGACCCTGGGTGGTGCAAATGGTTAATGCACTTAGCTGCTAACCAAAAGGTTGGGGGTTCAAATACACCGACAGGAACCTTGGAAGAAAGGCTGGGTGATCTATTTCAGAAAAATCAGCCATTGAAAACTCTATGGAGCATAGTTCTACTCTGACACACTTTTGGTGGCCATCAGTTGAAGTTGACTCGATGGTAGCTGGTTTGGTTTTTTGGTTTATAGTGGATCAAGAGTGTGAAAGCCCAATATGTAGAGTGGTTGGAGAGTGGACTTAATTAGTTGCTCAAAAAGAAGAGCTAACAGGCTGTCAAGACAGAATTTTAAGAAAAGAAAAAAAAAACTGTATTACAATTGACCCCTTGATGTCCTGACATCAGTTTTGAGCTTGATTATTTGGGTTATTAGGGGGCTTTAATTTGTGTTATAAAGGTGGCCTGAATGCTGGAGACTTCCAGGCAATAGGGCACAGGTTGCTCTCCATCATATTAAAAAACATTTTATTATGAAGGTAAAAAGGAGGAAGGCAAATATAAGAAGTCTTTGTAGGCTGGCCTGTAATCAATATGCCCTTTTATATGGCATCAGCCAAGAAAACAAATCTTAAGTCTCCAGGATCTCTAATAACATGTTGGTGGAGTTGTAAAATGTGTTAAAAGTATGAGTTACAGTTTTTATGACAGTAATGTCTTGGTGTATTTCTTGTGTCAAGGTAGAGGATCTGGAAGTTATCTTGTTGAAAGGTAAGAACTGATAGTTCAATAGGTGTATGTGAAGTTTAGTGGTATTTGTTTGTAACCAAGGGCAAAGAGTAGTTGTGGTGGTCTTGGGTGAAGAAATGAGTGGAAAATTATGGTGGGAAGCTGGAGTGAAGAGAGTAGGAGAAGCCACTTGGGATGGGGATATCCTCTCTGGTGGTAGAGGGCTGGACCAATATAAGACAGTTGCTTTCTGGAGAAAGCAGTAATCTCAATTAATTTTTAAGGGTGGCACAGATGGTACTAACCTCCATAAGATTTCCCTTTAAGCACTGGAGTGTAGAGGTGTATGTTTTGGCATAGAGTCAGAAGTATAACAGGATCATGGACGAAAAAAACATCAAACTCAAGAATCATACAAAAATCCATAATGTCAAAGAAAGAAAAGCAATAAATGTCCTGTGTCCAGTTTGCCTCTCCTTAGGAGAGACAGCCCATGTGTGACACTGGGCTCAGTGTCCAGGGGTGAAGTCGTCTCCAGCACAAGGGACAAAGTCATCTCATACGACAGGCAATGTCATCTCCAGTGGCAAGCTCTTGGGCTAGGGGGATGTCTTCAATGTGGGACGGGGGCATCCTTCCCAGGTGGATACCCACATGGGTTGATGGGGGTCATGTTTTTGTGGCTCTATGGTATTATAATAAGGCTGAGCCACTTGTAGAATTTGAAGGAAACATTGGGCCTGGAACTTTGACTTTCGGATATCTTTTAAATCAAGGCGCTTTGTGGGTGCACAGCTAGCAAAAGTGAAGTCAGCATTTATCATGCTGCTTTAATAGAACTAAATCGTCAAAACCTGACTAACATAATTAAAACCCCAATTAAGGGTAAAATCAAGCCAAACACATTGCTATTGAGTCGATTCTGGCTCACAGCTGAACTGCCCTATAGGGTTTCCAAGGAACGGCTGGTGGATTTGAACAGCCAGTGTTTGGGTTAGCAGCGAAGTTCTTAACCATTGTGCCACCAGGGCTCCTACTGTGCCATCAAAAACCAAAAAACCAAACTTGTTGCTGTTGAGTCAATTCCAACTCATAGGGACCCTATAGGACAGAGTAGAACTGCCCTATAGGGTTTCCAAGGAACTGCTGGTAGATTTGAATTGCCGACATTTTGGTTGCTCCCAGAGCTACACAATTAAGGGTAGTCACATCTAAAAGCTCCCAACAGTCCAAGCTTTTTCCCAGATGGGTGATAAAAGGTGTTCTGCTACAAGTAGGTTTTAGATTGTGTGGTCTGATTTGTGTACATGTAATTAGTAAGGTTTTAAATTGACGTCCAATTAAGATAGCTATAGCTGAGGTTGGAGTCTGTCGGACAACACGTCCTGCTTGACCACATCATTAACTGTAAGACAACACTGCATGGTACTCACATGTTTTACCCAATTTCTAGATAGCTAGGAGGCCATTAGAAAAAGGGCACCAATAACTAACACGGATTGCTCTATAAACATTATGTCCTTCTTCAGATCAAAGCTTGAAGACACGTTAACCCATAGAAAGTAGCTTTTATTACTTACAAGTATCAGATGGCATCTATACAACTGGAAAACTTCCGTCATGAGAAGTCCCCCTTCAAAAGGTGCCTGGGCAGAGATGATGACTTTTCCTTGCACACCCCACTGTCTGCCATGAGTGAGGAGCTTAAATAGGACCCTACCTACTGCTGGTCTCCCCCTGGCCAGGTAGGTCTGATAAGGTGGACTGTAAGTTTATGCTATATGTGCCCCGCCTGTACTATCACTGAGGAGACTAAGAAAAATTCCTCCCAGCTATTTTATACCCCAGGCCTAAATGACTAATTGTATCTTTTCAACCCTGCTAACAAATATCTTACTGCAACATGCCCCCCTGACTTCCTGAGGGGGAAGTGGTTAACCCAGAACTGTATCATTTTAACCTTGCTAACAAACATCAGGCCTCAGTGAGGGTAGTGGTTTGTTCTGAGGCCTAAACATGCCCGCAGGGAGAGGAATGGAGAAAACCATGGCCACCTGGCTTGTCCGAAGGACTTGCTCCTTTCAGAGTCCCAGAACCAGCCTGTAGGCAGGCCCTCCAGTTTAGCCGATGGCTATGGGCCTCTTGCCACGGCTGTTGTTTTGGTCGGGGATGGGCAAGCGGGCAAGATCTTCGACCTGCAGGACTTGCATTAGCTAAATTCAATGGCATGCAGGCCTCGGCATTTGCCATGTTTGGTTAATTAAAACAATGGCTTCCATGGAGGGTATGGACCACTGGATGACAAACTAATAAAAGCACCTAGACCGATACTAACAAGACCGGTAACCAACAGAATGCTGTGCAGCTGCACTTGACAGGCTTTTGTTTCCTGATGCTGATTTCCCTTCAGCATGTACTATTACCATGGAGGAGAGGGAGTCTGGTTTCATCTTTGTGGGAGATGGTGTTGACTTCATTATTGCCTCTGAATGAGTTTTTTATTTACTAAATAGAGTTTTCTATCTCCCTTTTTAATGGTTCACACTGTATGTGGGAATGGCCCTAGAGCAATAATTTCAGTTTCCTACAAGCGATCAGTAGTAGAACACAGATTAATTATCCGGCCCTTATAACCCAAATACTGGGCAAGATTTTTTGGGTGGTGGAAGTTCAGGCTCAAATAGGTCCCATAAAAATGGGCAAGTGTTGAGTCTGTAGAGAAATCTATGGTTAAGGGTCCCAGGAGAGTATGCGCCTCTGTTTGGCCTCCAGCCCTTATGGGGTAGGGGCAGGAACAAAAATCCATAAAAATATGGGGAGACATTATTAAACGGCCTCATCAATATAATGAATCTTTATACATATACAGGCAAAAAATATCCTCCTTTAAATATAGGAAGGTGTGATGGGAAGGTTTTTTCTTAACATTGGTATGAGGAGGTGTGAGTCAGTCAAAGGCCTTGAATTAGAAGACATTAAGGCCCAGTACAAGAGGGAGACCCATTTATGGGTCCATTTGCCATTTACTAATTTAAATAAGAGTTGTTTGAAGAGACTATTTTATGTTCCTCAATTAAACTATCCTACCTGAGACCAATCAGGGGTTCAGAATTTCCATTGAATGCCTTTTCCAAGAGCCTAGCACTGTGTATTCTGAGAAGTGAAATGTGTGCCTTGGTCACTATCAGTAATATCTGATATTCCTGTACAATTAAATAGTGTTTATACATGTGGGGAATTTTGTTTTTAAAGCCATTACAAAAAAATTAGAAAACATAACTGCAAGATTTGGAGGCAGGCAAGAAATGTCATCTCCCCACTAACATCACCAACACACTCAACTCTCATACCTCACCAAAAAATTACATGTAATGAAGAAAAGCTTGAGAAACTTGTTTGTGGAAGACATTGGACAAATATTCTGAGTTTGGTTGGAGTTATGATAATGCCTGCCTGAAGAGTCCATGAGTGGTGAACTCACAATCACAACACAAGTGGCTGAGGGTCGGGAATACTTTAAAGCTTAAGGATATTTACAAATCATTTTAAGGGAAAAGTTGTTGACTCAACTATGAAGGCCGTGAATACTAAATTCAGGGACTCTATTCCTTAAAAGGTAAAATTGCACCAAAAAAGCGGTCTTAGAAATGCAAAACACTTGTGAGTTCAAGTAGCCGCTTAGAAACTTACAAATAACTTACATGAACACGAACTACACCCGAAGAAACAAATACTGAAAAAAACTGTTACAACTCTTTATTAGATGACGTAAGTGGCTCTGAAAAGAGCCTTTGGTATTGATGACAAAGTAGCACACCTCTCACTTGGAGCTGGTATACTTGGTGACAGCCTTGGTGCCCTCGGACACTGCGTGCTTGGCCAGCTCCCCGGGAAGCAGCAGGCGCACGGCTGTCTGGATTTCCCTGGACGTGATCGTCGAGCGCTTGTTGTAATGGGCCAGGCGAGATGCCTCACCTGCAATGCGCTCAAAAATATCGTTGACGAACGAGTTCATGATGCCCATAGCCTTGGACGAAATGCCGGTGTCGGGGTGGACCTGTTTCAGCACCTTGTATACATAGACAGAATAGCTCTCCTTCCGGCTGCGTTTGCGCTTCTTGCCATCCTTTTTCTGCGCTTTGGTCACCGCCTTTTTAGAGCCCTTCTTAGGAGCTGGGGCAGATTTCGCCGGCTCGGGCATGATGGAAAAAAGCTACAAACTACAAGAAAATAAAAGAGCTTAACTGAAGGTTTTCATTTATAGTCTCGTCTTTTATAGGTCCACTATGCAAATGAAGACTTGAAGAATATTCAGATCTGATTTGATAATATATTAGCGGCTCTAGATTATGTAAATTTGATCGTATCGCAGCTCCCTTCTTATTGGTTGGCTAGTCACAAGATGCTTTTAACCAATCCAACCTCGCCTTCTACAAGTCCACCTAGAACTATAACAGGCTTCTTATTGCTCCCCTTCAGACACTTGGTCAGTGCTTTATCTTTGGCTGTACGTTTCCTACCACTATCACATCGCCATGTCTGGACGCGGCAAGCAAGGCGGCAAGGCTCGCGCCAAGGCCAAGACTCGGTCTTCCCGTGCTGGGCTCCAGTTCCCAGTGGGCAGAGTGCACCGCCTGCTCCGCAAAGGGAACTACTCCGAGCGGGTCGGGGCCGGCGCTCCCGTGTACCTGGCGGCGGTGCTGGAGTACCTGACGGCCGAAATCCTGGAGCTGGCGGGCAACGCGGCCCGCGACAACAAGAAGACGCGCATCATCCCGCGCCACCTGCAGTTGGCCATTCGCAACGACGAGGAGCTCAATAAACTGCTGGGCCGCGTGACCATAGCGCAGGGCGGCGTCCTGCCCAACATCCAGGCCGTGCTGCTGCCCAAGAAAACCGAGAGCCACCATAAGGCCAAGGGCAAGTAAAGCGCTCTTAAGCCACCCGTGAACACCTAAGAAATCAAAGGCTCTTTTCAGAGCCACCCAAGTTTTCTGAAAAGTGCTGAAATACACTTGAGCCCTAGATGATGTGTTTATTGGTACAATATTTAATTCTGCAGAGGAGCTCCATTCATCTGTTAACGTACGCCAGACAGTTTCACGTTTCAGAGAAAGTACTTGCCCCCTTCCTCAACCTAGTTAGATCAATTAATCTTTAAAATTGTCGCTCACATTTTATGCTCCATAAATGAAACCTTTCTGAAAAAAAGAAACTAAAAACTTTACAGCGTCCCTTTTACTGAAAAAATTGAAATGAACGCACTAAAAACACCAGATCTGCTAAGGAAGAACTTGCACTTCTGTTAGCAAAGATTATTACGGCTCTAGGCTATGTAGATAGTGTACCAAAATGACACGTTTGGAGCAAAAGTGCGTGTGTATATGCACATATTCTTATGAATAATTATGCGTATATTGTATATTTATATCAACTTGCAGTTAAAAAGGCCTAAAATATGAGGAAAAGAAATGAGAACAAAGAAGGATAGTTGGCCAATCATATTTCAGAGCGGGCCTTTTAAATTTGGAGATGACGGCATTTCCAACAATGTTTTGTTTCGGGGTTTTTTTTTTTTTTTTTTTTTCTTTTTTTTTTTTTTTGGTCTCGATTATTTTTCTTTAAAGAAAAACACTATTAATTAAGTACAGTAAAATCAAGCTTAAATGAAACCTTGCTTTTATGAACTAAATTTAAAAGTGAACTACGCTCGAAAGAAAATGTGACTAGTCAATCTTTAATGGCAATCCAATCACATTGCTCCAGAAAGCAATCAGAACCAATTAGATCACAGGGCGGGACGTATGAAAGGGACTGTTCTGTTGCTATAAATAAGGTCAGAAAAGGCATTGTTCTGCTCTGCAACTAACGCCCTCTTCGCTCCTGTCTTCATGGCTCGCACCAAGCAGACAGCTCGCAAGTCCACTGGCGGCAAGGCGCCGCGCAAGCAGCTGGCCACCAAGGCGGCCCGCAAGAGCGCGCCGGCCACTGGTGGCGTGAAGAAACCGCACCGCTACCGGCCCGGCACCGTGGCGCTGCGCGAGATCCGGCGCTACCAGAAGTCAACCGAGCTGCTGATCCGCAAGCTGCCGTTCCAGCGTCTGGTGCGCGAGATCGCGCAGGACTTCAAGACCGACCTGCGCTTCCAGAGCTCGGCCGTGATGGCGCTGCAGGAGGCGTGCGAGGCCTACCTGGT